AGAAGTTGGCAGAGGGGTCGGTGGCACCAGGGAGGAGTTGACAGAGGGGGTCGGTGGCATCATGGAGAAGTTGGCAGAGGGGTCGGTGGCACCAGGGAGGAGTTGACAGAGGGGGGCGGTGGCACCAGGGAGGAGTTGGCAGAGGGGGTCGATGGCATCATGGAGAAGTTGGCAGAGGGGTCGGTGGCACCAGGGAGAAGTTGGCAGAGGGGGTCGGTGGCACCAGGGAGAAGTTGACAGAGGGGGTCGGTGGCACCAGAGAGGAGTTGACAGAGGGGGTCGGTGGCACCAGGGAGAAGTTGACAGAGGGGGTCCGTGGCACCAGGGAGAGGTTGACAGAGGGGGTCGGTGGCACCAGGGAGGAGTTGACAGAGGGGGTCGGTGGCACCAGGGAGAAGTTGGTAGAGGGGGTCGGTGGCGCTAGGGAGAAGTTGACAGAGGGGGTCGTGGCACCAGGGAGGAGTTGGCAGAGGGAGTCGATGGCACCAGGGAGGAGTTGAGAGAGGGGGTCGGTGGCAGCAGGGAGAAGTTTACAGAGGGGGTCGGTGGCACCAGGAAGAGGTTGACAGAGGGGGTCGGTGGTCAATTTCTGATGGTTGCGATTACATGGATGCCCTAGTCTTGCCATAGTTTCTAGGTTTTCCCTTTGTCAACGAGATACTATACATGTACACCTTATCAAAAACGCGATTGTCATTGATCTAAATAGACTCTTTAGGTCTTCGAAGACTTTTGTTTGATTTCTGTTACATGTACATCTTAGAAAATATGTGTTGTACAAATGTTGAATTAAATCTCTTCAGCAGAGATGGTCAAACGAGCTATTCTACAGCGTTATGAAAACAAAGAAGATATTCGTGCACGTATGTGTTGTTTCATATTACAGTAAACTATGGTTATAACGAACTCGAAGGGACCACTACTTTTAGTTCGTGACTGAGTGAGTGGAGTGAGTATGATTTTACGCCGCTTTTAGCAATATTCCAGCAATATCACGGCGCGGGACACCAATAATGGGCTTCACACATTGTACCCATGTCGGGAATCGAACCCGGGTCTTCGGCGTGACGAGCGAACGCTTTAACCACTAGGCTAAATGTTAGTTTGTAATAACCGTAGTTCGTTATAAGCATATATACAGCATTTATACGACAAATGGTCGGGACTAAAAAATAAGTTTCTTATATCGGTCAGTTTGTTATAAACGTGTTCGTTATAAACGTAGTTTACTGTATTTTGAGGTTTGAATACACCCAATATGGTGACTGTCATTTGGAGACTGTCATCGCCAGGAGCACAACCATTCGGACACTCTGGGTAATGCAGAAGGCTGCCGTGCTGGGGAGTCCTCCTGTTCTCCGAAAGGTGTATGGTGGGTTCGACTAGGCAGCTCTTCCTGGGAGAAGTCTCAATCTCTGTCTGGGCTTCTTGCAGAGGATCAAGGCCTTACAAGCCTGACTGTGCCAGGATCACCCAAACCCTCTTTGCTACATATTTTTTTAATTTAATCTGTATAAATAGCAAAGCAACATGAACGGACAGAATCCCACAGTTGCGGGTCTTTTTAAACTATCAGTGAGTGAATTAATATTTAACGTCACATCGGCAATATTGCAGCCATATCGTTACGAGACAAAATTTGACTTTAATAACATATATGTACACTGTATAAAATTCTGTCGACGAAGGACAGTAAAACAACTAGATTATCACAGATATATGTTTAAAACTAGTACATAACCATAAAATATGACAATTCATAACATTACAATAGATCAAATTGGGCTATATATCACCAGCAACTAAAGTGAGGTCACCATACTGAGGACCATGGGGACTTACAGTACCTTTGCTACCTGCATGGACCCCAGCAGGATTTACACCATCCCTTTAGTCACTGGCGACCATTGACAGGGTTTAGCCGGAGATTTAAAACAAACAAATATTCTACGATTAAAAAACTGGCAGATATAAAATTACTTTGATTTATGTGGGCTTCCATATCCACTCAGGGGGACAATAATTTTATGCTACTTCAACCCCCTTCGAGGATATAGCCACTAACAATCTCAGTTAATGATCATATACTACCAATTTATAAAATATATATATCTCTGTACATCAAAATTTATTAATTAATTATATTTCCTTTAAAAAAAACGATGATTAAAGGAGGATGTATTTGATTAAAAAAATCCGTTATTGATGACATTTTGAAATATTTATCCCTTGTGATGGAAAAATCAACACAGTCAAGCAAGACATGCTTTACAATGATTCTTTCATCACAAGGGATACAATTTTAAACTATCAACGCCAGTTTAAAAATTTAGAAATACAAAGTACAGCATTTGGAGAATCCAGGACACGATCTTCGACTTGATAATCATAAACTCAAGAATAGTCTCACAACGATGTCACCACGTGGTCACGAGACGGCGAGGAGCACAACACAGAATGCGGGATGTTGTGTACTAGCGGCACAACATTAAGGGCATTCATACACTCGTCACTTGAAATAGTACTCACAAAGTGTGATTGTCACTGTTGTCATCGTTCAATCGGGGGCACGGGTGGCCCAGACGTCTAGGGCGCCGCGATTCGCTGTGCAGAGTTGCGTCCCATGTGCACGCCAGAAATCTATGATTGTGGGTTCGAACAGAGACCATATAATAGAGGGACGGCCCTCTTGCCTATGCGCGAAACCATCAGTGCTACGGCTTGTACTGCGCAGCCTGTCCGGAAGCGAGCAGAAACGCGTTCACTGCAGTCATCGTTGTCGCCTTTTTTTCCCATGCAAAATATATATTTTACAATACAAAATTACACTCATGTATTTCTTAACATTGTTAACATTACAACTGAGATGTGTTGGTGCCCTAAAGCATGTCGTTGTCACTGTATTTGACGACTGTGATCATGCTTTGTCTTTGTCCGAGAGAACAAAATGGCGCACATGTAAAATCGGCAAAAGTGCAGATTTTGATTTTCAATAACGGCCTCTAATTCGCAATGAAAGTCCTTGGTTACCAAGGTGTATAAAAAGGAAATATGTTAAAAATTGGCTTAGTGCCATTTACAAATTTAGGGCGGATGCGAAATTTCAGATTTTGACTCCAGAAATGGGACTAAATCTGACTTTTCCCGAAATAATTACACCACAACTCTTAATTTTCGCATGCTTTCAGACGAATGTGTTCCTATCATCGGTCCTGAATTAAATAGTTTTACATTCATCACGATTTCCCCTTTGGCTTGGTACCAAAGTTATTTAGGTACGATCGGTAGTTTTTTTTGTATGGTTTTTGGCGCAAGGCCATATTTTACGTCACATATTTTAATTTAAATTACCATATAGCAGACGACATAACATGCATTTTGTCTGTGATTATCATCCGAATATATCTTTTGAAACATTATACAAAGTGACTTATATTGTATGATATTAGAATTGTTTTTGTAAGACGCATATTTTTTTACCATTGCTTTCGCCATTTCTTCGTAAGTTTAACTTTGTTTCAGTTAGGCTTCTATCACATATCGCGCATATACTACATACTACAATTCTACATATTTGTTATCTTCTGTAGATTTTGTCTGTATTAATCATGACTACATTTAATCAGTTATTTATTTTATGCCGTGTAAATATTGATTATGAGCAAAATGATCTTGGCCTAAACCCAATCATAATAATGTAAATATGATGAAGGTACTACTTACTTTGTGTATTTACACAACAATGAAAACATCATACAAAAATAAAAATCCATTACATGAAATATTTGTATTAGAATAGTAGTAGATTTGGTATATTTGTTTATTTATAATAGTTAACAATTGCAGCATAAAATGAGATATGTAAATTGAAATAAATGTACCGGAAGACACACATGTTCAGCAAATAATTTGCAGCCAACTGACATGTGCTAATGAGAGATATCATAAAAAAATCTTTGTAATCCGCTAAGAGACGTCCTTTTATTGGATTGTCGCTGGTCGTAGTCGGAGAAATCTCGGATAAGGTAATTAACTCTTACCCCGGATATTATGTAATATTGTTTACGTGGTTACCAGAATGGTCAGTCGTGAATGTCTGCGCATCTATTGCGCATCTGCAGCGGTACAGGGAGGTTAACAGCAGGGTGTCGGGGTGTATCAGTTACATGCCAGACCGTAGCGCTGATGGTTAGTGATAAGCTGTTGGTGAGGGCCGTCCCCTATTATATGGTCTCTGGTTCGAATCAAGGTTCGCCCCGATTATGTTTCTAGGTTTGTCAGCACCATACCCGTGCTCGTGGGTTTCACCAAAGTGGTCAACGTCTGAGACCTCCATCACTTCGGGCTTTCCTCCAACATTAAGCTGACACGCCGCGATATAACTGTAATACTGTTAAAAGCGGCGTTAAGCCCAACTCACTCACTCAATCGTTCAATCCTTTAATTCTGTAAATCATGCAATTATTGCTGGTCGATTCAGATGAGATAGGATACATTGTGTCAACGCCATGTTACAGTGCTGTATCAATTATCAATATAATATCCTATTATTGTTAATATAAACAGTAAAATCATTTCATAATCATAATCAATATCTGATCAACGCACAGTGCTTTGTACAATTTCGACAATATCATAAGCATGTGTTTATGAATCACTATCAACTAGACATAAAAACAGGTGTTCACGAAATGTATCCTCAGCAAAAAAAAACGAAAAAAACAACAAAAACAAAAAAGAAACGTATCCTCAGCGTATCCTGCCACATCGATGGCAACCGTCACAAACACATGCAAGGGCAAGTCAAACGTGCATCTAAAAAAACACGGGAACATGGTGCAAGCGCAAAATAGGAAATTGTATCGAATATCATTTTGGTCACTGATGCGTCAAATTTGGAAATGTCCTCCCCCATATCTACCATATATTTTTGAACGCGTTGCTTGGGCATTGGGTGTTGTAACACTGATCAAACAATTGTTTCAGCAAGTCGAACGGCGCTCTTTGAATCTTCGTAGATAAAGTATGTTCGACTGTGCCTCAAACACTGCGGAATATAGACACCAGGAACTGCTGGAATCTTTCTCTGCATAAAGCATAAAGTTGACTATTGAAACGCTGAAGTCATTCTCCTTGTTATACGGTATTGTGTGGAGATGTTCCGTCACTCTTTGTGCAGAGATACTTGACCACATAAAATGTCTCTCATAAAATTTGACATTTTTAAGTGGCCCGTGAGTCACCCGAAGAGAGGAATATTTCCAAGAATAGTTCTGTGGTATTTTATTGTTGTATGTTTCTTTATGTGTGAGAGTGTGTGGTGTGCATGCTGTTAAAATAATGGCCGGTTAGAAAGCGAGAAACAATATAAAGAAACAAAGGTAAATCCAGATTAGGATCAGTTGACAAGTTATGAATTAGGACTTTTAGTAAAGAGGTTAGCGTCATGACAAATTATGTCGCCGCTCGACACTACTTACGTTTTCAAAATCAAACCTGCAAAAGTGTAGTCATTATGTCAGTAGGACTTGTGTCCCAGATATCATGTGTTGTGTAGGTCTGATGTACCAGATGTCATGTGTAGTGTAGGTCTGATGTACCAGATGTCATGTGCAGTGTAGGTCTGAT